TTCAGTTCAGTAAATTAATATCAGTTTAGTTCTGTATTTAACCGGTTTCAGTTATACCGGTTAAATCCAAATATCATGTCAAGTCTAGTAGAGCATCTTAACATAATTAATCAGTTAATTTATCAGTCTGAGCATAGTCCTTAGTAACTGTTTATGTTATATTTCAGTTTGATCAGGCATCAGTTATCAGCACTACCTTTCATTTTCACGGATCAAGTGGGGACTCAGACTAAGTACTACATTGATTATAATTACGCTACCATGTTTGAGGTATGTATTATTTGTATCCGCTCGGAATGGTCGCCGGTCCATTCTGGGTTCTAGTGGCCTTAATCTGCCCACTAGAGTGTGCATATGGTGTTCGGCTATGCCGGCAGATGTTCAGTTTCAGACAAGTGACGTATGTCACGAGATCAGTATCAGATTATTCAGTACCAGTATCAGATATCAGTTATCAGTTTCAGTTTCAGTTCAGTTATATATGCCAGGATCATGATATTGTTATTATATTCACTGTTTTACTTTAGTATGAGTTTTTGCGGAGCACAGTGTTTTAGTGCTCACGCCCCCACGTATTTCATGTTTTTCAGGTCACAGAGTCGGGGACGAAGAGTGAGCTAACGAGCTGTTCAGGATATTTGTTTATATGTACATATTATGTTTTGGCTACGCTAATGTTTCCGCTACAGTTTTAGTGCTTTAAACCAATTTTTGTCCGACATTAGTCGGTTAATATATTATATAACCGTTTTTATTATCAGTTTAAAATTAACGGTTTTCATAAAAGTCAGATTTTTACGGTAACACTCCGAATCAGTTTTCGCAAAAAGAAATATTTTATTTATTTTATTTAAAAAATTGCAGAAAAGCGTACTCTGATTTCAGTAAATAACAGGGTGTTACAATTGGTATCAGAGCACGTTTCTGCGTCTCTGAAAAGTTTTATAAGTCAGAAATTTTCAGAAAAACTGAACCGTCACGCTCACGCCTCGCCGACTACAGGTAAGTGCTGATTTATGTTTTTCAGTTATAAACATATTACTTTGCCTATGCTCAGAAATTTATTAATCATGACT